GTCAATTGCTCATTACTCAGCATTTAAAAAAAAATGTGTAGAATGTTAAAAATGGCGAATTTGAACGCAAAGTAATAAGTCAGTGGGATTCCATGTTTGCGATTTGTAGGGTAGGGTAATTAGAAACCTGGGATATGTACGATCCGATCGTGAGGTATACTCGTTTGTTGACATCACTTTACTTCTTAGTCCTATACGTAGAATACTACTGAACAAGATACAACTGACGTTTGTCTCAAGGAACGTTGAAGAGTTCCATATAATCGCTGCGATCGCTGGACTTTTTCCTTGGCAATCCTGGCAATCGTATGAAAACCATTACGAAAACAGTGCGTTATAATCAAACTGCAAAACTTGTGAAAGCGAGATACTTTCGAGAATGTTAATCGTGACAGCCCGATAGCACGGTTTCAAAATCATGATGACGTCCGTCTGCTCTGCAGGTTCGCTTGAGACCTGCGGCGATCCTGCAGTTCAAGCATTATGATTAATAAGCGTATTAGACGATGATTTTTTTATCCTTGTTCGAAGCCGGTGATTTTCCCGTTTGATAGTTAAAATTAGAAAAGCAAAAATACTACTCATACCTTAAAACCTAATGACTCACCGTAGAAATTTAGTACAAGTATTCAACTACTCGAGATCAGTCGAGGCCGCCCAAAGTTGCAAGACGAAATTAACTATATAGGCTAAAGCGGGTAAGTTATCAGTAAAGCATACTATTCCTTTTATTTACGTGGGTTGAATTTCTAAATATTATTCTCTGTTTTTTTTTTCTGCATGATTCGATCATTATTCATTTTAGACCTACTGACCTTTACTTACCTTTCTCTTTGTTGGGTTTGAACTAATTTTTTTAAAATTAGTATTCCTTCTTTACGTAATTGTCGAACAGAATGTTCATCATTGTCTTACAACAATAGAGCGGTTTTCACTTGACTGACGAAAGGGATTGGTTTTGGTTTTGGTTTTGGTTTTACTACGCCCTTTGGTTGGCTAGTGTATTTACTTTGGTTTTGGTTTTACGACAGTCAAGTGAAAACCGCTCTAATACGGTGATTTAGGTGTTTTATTCGTTTTGACATTTAGCCATCACAGTTAGCCTGGACCGCCATAAGCTTCCATGCAGCATGCCTTCAGTATTGTACTTTGACATATTTAGCCAGTCAAGAAATAATAACCGTTGTCTTAGTTTGGTAGGTTAATTCGGCCTTACATTCAAGCTTAAAGCATGAAAATAAAGAAATCAGTTTAAAAAAAAGGAATTTTTGTGACTGGTCATCAGAATGCTATAGTGCAGAAAACGCAAATACTAGCAGATTCGGTCCTACGCTCGCTTAAAACCTTGTTATTTTTATGGTGGCGACAATTATATAGTTTCACTTGTTACGATTCTATTCACCTCTCGTACGAGTCTCTACCGGCTCACTTAAAAGAAATACCCGGCAATTTTCGATCGGTTTTTCGGCGGTGTAACTGCTTGTCTCGTAGATAACAAGCGCCCATTTCAGGCCATCGGTCGACAGAGTCCTTTTAAAGTTATTCGCATTTTCACGGTCTCTATACCTGAAAAATATCCCCGTTTGAAAGCCATGAAAGTATCAATGTCTTATGCTTTGATACTCTGCTTCTTGCCACTTCGGCATTTCTTTGGGAAACATTCAGACCCTTTTAGAGGTAGAAACAAAATCAGTGACTCAGATCGCAAACCAACCCCAAACCGGAACAAGCACATCAGCGATCAAGGGTACAAGAGGTAAACACAAACGTTTTATTCATATAATCGTCCCATTTTGTTAATCACTCGTATGATTACAGACCGAATTGGACTCCACTAAGCCCTGTTACCATTACTAATCATAACTATAACAAAATTCTAAAATCTGTTTGGCTATCAAATGTCCTGATTTCAGCACTAATAGGGCATTGTAAAAGGACCGTGAGTAGGCGTCATGCCCAAGTTGCCGGGGAGTTTACGCAAAGACCACGGCGACGACTGCGAAAACATCACTTAAAAAGTGAATTTGCTCTGCCTCAAACTTTATTAAGCTTATTCCATCTCGTTTAATTCGTCAAATATCGGCAATTTTTTTTTGGAGTTGAATTCTAAGAGACTGCATTAAAAGAAAAAGAAAGTAAAAGAAGTCGTAGTTGTAGTCGTCCAACGACGGCAGAGACATGTACAAAAAAGCGTGATGCAGGTGCAAAGTTGTTGTTCTGCTTGTCTTAACCTATTGCTTTATTGCCGTTCTCGTTGCCGTCGTCGTCGTCGTTGCGGTAACTCCCTAGTAATTCGGACGGTACGCGGCATGGCACACGCGCGCACTAAAATGGCTTTTTTTTCGCCGCCAGCAAAAACCCTCGGAATTTCTAGACTGCTTGCGTCTGCCTTTTCTCATAAAATCCGTCTAGTTCTTATCTCATCCAGCGCGATTGCAAACCACGACGTTATTATTATAATTGAGACGCCCTCGTTTCCCACGGCTCGCGGCTTCGCTGCCCGTGTGCTTAGGTTTCGCGTGCAGTAACTTTGCAAAGAAAAATAAGAGACTGCTCGCAGTGTACGGAATTTCTTGAGTTTTAATTAAGAATATATATATATATATATATATATATCACAAATTTTGTTATAGTTATGATTAATTGTTAAGAGAACTTGGTGTCGTTCAATTCGGGCTGTAATCAGACCGAACTGGACCCGATCATATCCATGACTCATCCACCCAGTCGTACTCACGCGTGCAGGATAGAAACTCGGCTGTACGTGGCTGTGCCAGTACATGTCGCGTAAAGGTAGCCTCTGCTCACCGGGTATAAGTAGATTATGTTCTGATGAATCTTATTGAACATTGCTTTACGCTAGAATGTTGTTTTTCCTGCCCAGGCTGAATATTCTTATTTTTCTGCCGATTAGATCCGATTAGGCTGAAAACATTCCTGTATTATTCTTAGATGAAAGCTTAGTACATAGTATCAGTCCATAAGTACTACATGTATCGCTCTTGCCGGAACTTTTTTTTAGCATTGAACTTTTGGCTTTAGCAAGAGATAAAAACACATATTGCATTTTTATATCCCTTTCAAAATCTCAGCCTCGGGTGTATTCTTTAAATAATCTAAAAATTTCGCATATTTTAGCCTCGACATTCTTATAAAATAAATTTTTAAAGAAAAAAAGAGTGTTTGTCTGAAAATACTAAAAAATTCGAGCTTTGATCGGTAATTATTTCAAGAAATAATTTGATAGAAATGACCTCTTGATACCATAACTGAAATGTATTGACTGCAAGAAAAGCAAAAGCGACAATTGCCTTGTTTAAGATTGGAACTGTTGATCAAATCAATGCAGCAAAGTCACTTGTACGATCTCTACAGAATATTTATTCCGCTCGTTGTAATCTCACTGAATCTCTCAGGGTGACTTCAATTGCAATTTGAATACCTTCTTTTAGTAAATTCGGCGAAAATAATTTCAATCAAATCCACAGTTAGAGGTGGTAAAGTGATATTGGGCACCCTATCTAACACTATGTCTGCTCTACTCTGGATAGCTTTTCATCTGGCCAACCGTTCAAACTGCGCCAAACTGGGATCGGGAGTGCCGGGCATCACTCTGGCCGGGCACAGAAACCTATCCGATATGTGGTATTCACTTTCAACATCGGCACGGCTCAGCCTCTCTCCGTTACAAGGACAAAAACCTCGCTGAAATCACCGTTAAGGTATCCTGGTAACAGATAAAAAACAAAACGCGTAAGCAAGTAAGTTCAAAGAAAGCCGGCAAAGGCCAACTTCATATTCTTAACTCTTTGCGGCCGGCCACAGCCGCCGTTCATATTGGAGGAATACAATACCAGAGAAGCATCCCAACAGAGGATTTCTTCAAAAGAAATGTGGCTATTTTATTCAAAAATTTATTGAATAGATTTAAACAGTTAACTAACAGTTCTCTGGGGACTGCGCTAAAACAAGGAAGTTCCTTTTAAAACAGGAAGTCGTAAAACGAAATGTATTTCAACGGCGAGACAAAAAGCGGCTAGCGGCATTCGAGACAATACCATGGAGTAATCATCGTATCGTATGAAAAGCAGAGTAGCACTTAGCAAGACTATTTTTTGCTGTCTTGTTTCCCGTTGGTGAGTCATCCGGCAGATACCATGGAGCTCGGGCCGGCTGTATTAAATTTCTCGAATTCTTTTGAAATGATAAAAGCTATTAAGATTTTTTTATTATTCTATTAACAATAAAAGCTATTAGGCTTTAAGTGTTCTGATTGCGCAAAATGTTATCACATGCAAATCCTTTGATTGATGGTAATTCAAATCTAGCAAATTCTAAACAGGTCAGAAACGAATCCCAAATATCTAATATTGCAAAAAAAAAAAGGTATCGAGATGGACAATAAGAGCTGTGCTTTTTATAAACGGAAGAATCCTGCAACGAACGTTGCGCGCTAAAAAAATATATTGGTTCAACCATAGTTAATTGAGTGGAATGGTTATGAAACCCGTCAGACTCCTTTGTTATATGTTTTTGTGGACCTGAAAGTGCACAACGTTCAAAAGAATTCCTATCATTTTGATTGTATTGACCAATAAAAACGTTGCATTGATTTATTCCGTAACAATTTGCCAACAGAAAACAAAGGATTGTGCACTTTCACGGTGCGTTGAACATAAACTCATGGTAAACTGCAGCACTGTTGTTTTTATCATTGATGTTTGCCGCTTTTCATAACCAGTCTCCTCTAATAACTATGGTTCAACCGAATATCGCTCAAGTTCACGACATCAACAAGCCTACATAAATTCCGTTACGCAAAAATGTTGCGTAACTTGAAAATATTTTTCTCTTCCATTCATAGGCTTCAGCGCGAACAGCATGTTCTTGACATTAGCTGCTGACACTGTACATGTCCCTCAGTTCCGGCGTAATTACCGGTGTTAAATTCCTAATCGTGTCAAACTTGCCGACATAAAAACGGGAATTACATTCACAAAGTGAATAATTCTATAAATTTTTTGGTTACCTTTTTTACCGTAGAAATTAGTGTCATCCTCGAAGAAAAAGGTAGGAGCAAATCTATGTACTGGCAAGTCATCATGGAAAATGAAGAGGTTATTTTGTTTGCGGCAGTGCTTGTCGCCTCGCTGTGGTTGTTCATCAAACGAGTATATGTGGAGCGACTCCCGTCATACTTTTACTGCAAGTACGTCTTTTTGACTGGCTGTGATTCTGGCTTCGGTAGAGAAACAGCACTGCGTCTTGATAGTTTAGGATTCAATGTGTTTGCGACATGTTTAACGAGAGAAGGCCAAGCAGATTTGACTGCCATGTGCAGCAAAAGACTTAAGGTTATTCATTTGGATGTCACAGATTCACAAGAAATCAGAAACGCTTACAAGTTCGTGGAGCAATCTTTACCAGAAAATACAGGTATGTTGCAATGAAAAAGGATACAGCGTCTTAATAAATAAGTGTCTAATAAAGATCAAGGGCTAGGTTTAGTCATTTGAAAGTGTCGAATTGAAGAAATCTTCAGATCAGTTATTTGTGCCACTTGTTATAAACACAATGTAAACATGGCTTATATAAACTCTAAACAGTATAAAAACCAATATTTACGAAGTTCATTGAAAAGGAATCCATTATTCGTGCCCATTATTCGTACACTGTGTTTGTTTATTACAAAAACAAATGCCCATGAAATTGATTTCAAAGGATCGCGAGACCCTCTCTGCATGTGGTAGGTTATTTGTCGTAGAGTAATGTAGAGGTAATCTTGCCATTTCCTGTCATGCAGTACATAGACTACGAGTAGTCCCCCATTTTTCCTCAGGGATAGTAGGGCGAGCGAAACGCGAGCGCGCGTGAAAATCACCCCACGCGAGAAAAGGCGACACGCGGCGGGGTGATTTTCACGCGCGCTCGCGTTTCGCTCGCCCTACTATCCCTGAGGAAAAATGGGGGACTACTCGTAGTCTATGTAGTACACAGTTTTGTCATTTAAAAATAGCTAAAATATTACTATATTATTCTAAGGTAAACACGGGGGAAAAGGAATTATTTTTTGAAGGGTTCTCTTTAGAATATTAGAGGACTTTGACACAAGAAATTAACTGAAGCACACTTCAAGCACAGACTGTCTCTCGTTGCCATGCGCGCGCGAGCTTTAATCTGCTCAACTTTCTTGCGTGACTATCCGTCTACTAAAAGGGTGGAGTACTTTTGTGTCATTTTTTGTTGCAACAAAGAATACTCTTCACCTCCGTGCAAATTTCTTACATATTCCATAAAACACCCACATATTTTCCCCAAAATTCCATTTTTCACATTTAGCTGACCAGAAATGATCGTATTAAAGCTTCTCGGAACAATAAGCCCTTTTCATCGCCTTGCTATTTCCGGCCGCTACGAATGACAACGATGACCCTCTCAGATGGAACAAAAAATATAAATATAGAAATCGGTGAATTAATTTAATACCGTCTAATATTATCTCAAGAGAGCTGTCAGCAAGATGAGAACATCTTTCCAGGTGTTCAACTGAAACTTCTTGGACTGAAGCCCCCGCAGACTGAGGACCTGAAGGAGTGTGACCTTTGTGTAACGAGAGAACTTTACAACAACAACAAGGTTATCATTTTCACCCTTGTCGTCTCTTGGCTCACTCTACGTGCTTAGCAAGATTCACTCAGTGAGACTGATCAGCAAAGAGTCTGCAATCCGCTATTTAAAAAGGAGAGAATCATTCTATTTTTTTTGACGTTCTATTACAAAACTGTGGATTGCAGACTCTTTGGTGATCAGTCTCAAAAGAAAGCCTCAGCAAACGTAGTATACTTTGTATACTTCTCTGTTCCTGTTTACAAACTGAAGTCAAAGCACGTGCACTAGCGGGAGTTTTCACGTCACTTCCGATCGATCCGAGCACCCTGAAGACCACCAACGGCAACTATCGCTCAAGGGGGAGGTGAATAGCGGTGGAAGAGGTGCCGAGGTTTACATAGTATCCGGGCGGCATAGTTGTTTTATTATTTATCAATTTAGCTGAAGAAAAATGAAAAAGTATTTTTTGGAAATAACGTCAGACGTCATAGCCTGCGCGCAGACGAAATTAAACTCTGGTTAACTCCGTACTAATCAGAGTTTAGTTATCGTCCGCACGCAGGCTACAGACGTCACGGCTCAGTTGCCAAGTATTTTGGGGATGTTTTATCTTTTTTGGCTAGTGCGTTTTTATGATTTTGTCGCGAATTCAGGAAGAATAACTTGCTAAACTGCCAGAAATTACTGCCACTTTCTTGGTTTTGTTAGTACAGCTGCTTCATTTATCGGTAATTAACTAAGATTTTAATAGTCTTCTAAAACTTTCACGAAACGAGACGCCATTTTGATTTTTGTCCCTAGTTACGGGAGCCAATCAAACACTTATGATTAATATATTGGCTGCTTAAGTTTATTTTTTGTGTTTAGCTCTTGAATACACGAAGAAGCCTCTGCTGTGCTGTAACGACGGCAAAGTCATAAATCTTTAAATCAGATTTCGGTTTCGTGTTTATTTTTTAAAAGTTACCGCAAGAATTGTCCCTCATGAAGACCCTGAAGTTAGTGGAACATGAGGGCGTCAGTGACCAAGTCAACTACTATTAACTTCAGTGAGACCAGAAATCTTGCTGGACAATGAGCAGCCCCTCACGTTTGAACTGCATGGTTAGCTGCATGCAGTGCAAACAGTGCACGAGCGCGCGTAAAAAAATGTCATACGAGAGGAAGGTAATATATAGGCGCGTTCGAGTATTTCGCTTGTCCTAGTATAAGGAGAGGTTTCCCATGAATTCTTTATTTGCCTCGAGTTTCATATCTAGTTTTCAAATATTATGAGACATTTTGTTGTGTTTACAATGAGCCGCATTTAGCCTTCGGGGCTCGTGCTATTTTTGAAATCCTTTGTTTTATGCTTTGTTTAATAATCCTACAAACAGAACAAACTTAATAGTTTTCCGTTTCGTTCCTAAGATTATATAATTGTATTAGTTCAACTTCAGTAACGATTTCTAAAAATACTATTGGTTTTCTCAATAATAGTTGCTCTGCTTTGATTTATTTTTCTTAATTAACTTTATTCTACAACAAAGCGGCCTTTCACTGCAACACCTTGTTAAGCGAATATAGCCAGTTTTTAATTAGTATTTTTGAGCGATATCGAAGTTTCACTGCAATTTACTTCCGTGAATAGTCGCTTCGTCTAAATTTAGAATTTCAAAAGTTTTGCTGACCTGCAAATTCGGAAAATGTCTGCTTTTGTTGTAGGTGAAAAACTACAATGAGGCAGGTGGTTAAAAGCCGCCTTGCTGACTTGGCAAACTTTGCTAGTTTATTATCCTAGTACTTTTTACTCCTAAAATAGAATCCGCAACAACAATCAGTTTCCCTTGACTTCAAACGACTTTGTTTGTATATCTATTGTGTTGAATACCTGTAGCGAGGAGATATAAGTAAGATAGTTTGTAGTGTTTTTTGACTACATCTATTACATCGACATCCCGTTGATTACATACTTGATTACACCGATTTCCTTGTCAACTACACCGATTGCTTCGAGTACGTGTACAAGAATAAACGCTGTTGGACCCAAGTAAAGTTTGCATTATTCTCTGCTGCGTTCCAGTTTGTTTCTTTGATTCCGGTCCTAAGAGTTCAGTGTGTCGGCTCTTACCCCCGAGCGAGTTGCTCTTTGAGTTTAGTTTCTCCAGTTTTATCGTGAGTTCAAACTCCGAGTTTCCCGTTTAGCCCTTAAAGTCATTCAAAAGTGGAAAAACCTTCAGTCACACTGGTAACCATGAAGTAAAACGAGGGACTACTCGTAGTACTACACAGCTGGCAGCAAGTTGCGTTCCTTCCCTCGTCCTCGGCTTGGGCCCCTTGTTCATTATTTTGTATGTTGTTTTGAGTATGGTAGCACCCCAAAATGATCTGACAAGGCGCTATACAGGGGCTTGTCTACTAGGCTTGCCCGAGCTCGGACTACAATGTAGGCACGCGTTCCATAGTTAAAGTATTCTGTATTTCTTTTGCGCGTTAACAAGCATAACACAGTAATTTTTACTTAGCTTTCACTTGGTCGTACTATCATTCTGCACAATCAAGGGTTGTATTTATGGACAATACTTCCTTGCTATGCAGGTCTATGGGGCCTAATTAACAACGCTGGAATTGCCAAGGTTGGACCAATCGAATGGCAAACCTTGGATGACTATCGACAGGTAGCAGATGTTAACTTGTGGGGACTTATTGACGTCACAAAGGTTTTCTTACCACTTGTCAAGAAACAGCGAGGACGTATCATAAATATTTCGAGTATTGGAGGTAATTCAGTTTTCACTGCTTCAACATATAAATTTTTTAGCTTAGGAGAATCATAATTGCTCTTATTTGCTTCAAATTGAGGGGGAAAGTAGTACTTTGCAATCTCGGCAGCTTTTACTTTGTCTCGCATGCATCAGATGCGAATCTCGGAACCTCGATAATCTGCAAGCCCCATTTGAATATATTCATAGTTACCTCATCTTTTTTTTCTTTGCTAGTCGGCTTGTAGGGTCAAAAAATTGAGATACTTTAAGACACAATAAAAATCTTTGCGGTCAGGTTTTGTTAAAACATTTCACTTTCCACTTTTATTTTGCTCGCGATGCACTTCTAAAAATTTGGCCACACCCGGTAAAGTTCAGACGGCGTACTTCACATGAACTTTCATATTCACTGAATGTGATTCGGCTCATGTGAAGTGCAGTGTCGACCTGAACCAGGCCTAATCGAGTACACCTTCTTGATTCTTCTTCTTTTTATTGTAGGTCGAGCGTCACTGCCACACGCCTCCGCGTATTCTATCTCCAAATTTGGAGTAGAAGCATTCTCAGATGCTCTCCGTCGTGAACTAAGCCCGTCTGGTTTGAAAGTCAGTGTGATAGAGCCAGGATTTTTTCGGACAAATATTACAAGTAAAGACAACTTGCGAGAGCAGTGGAATACACTCTGGAACGAGCTAGACGGTAGCTTAAAAGAGGAGTATGGTGGTAAATATTTTCAAACAAGTAAGTAAAGATAAATTAACGGCCATTTCCCTGCTATCGCCGATGTGCATCACTGAATTATTTTGAACTGATACACCAATCTAGTGAAATGGATACGTACTGCTTGGGTCGGTTTAGTATTTAATTTCCTCTTTAAATAGAACTTAATGAACATTTTTCCATGACTTACCAGAACACTTACTGTTTGACCTACTTGACTCAGTTGGTGCGAAGAATCAGAATTAGACACAGACCATTAGAAAAGTTATGGGGGAGGGGAGGGGAATTTTCGAGCCGCAGGAACTTTTTTGCGTTATCAAATTCCTTGTATGAATTTTTTTTAGGCCATAGCATGAAAATTTTGTAGGATTAATTGGCGTGCAAAATATTTTTTCATTTAATTTTCCCTTGCGCAAATATATTTTTGTGCCTCGCCTCCCCTCCCGCCCCCATAAGTTTTCTAATGGTCCATCCCTTAGGAGACCCTGTTGATTGTCAAGGAGCGATAAATTAAGGGACGGACATGAACAAACGATAATAAAAAGGAGGGTTCCCTGTCTGTTCAGTAGCTCGTCTCAGCTCACTCGGCTGCTAGTTCCGCCGGCTTGGCCACTACTTTCCGAATAGGAACTGCTGCTACCAGTCTACAGTCTATATTTCATGTTAAGACACACCCCAAACATATATTTTAATATTATTATACACTTCGAGGTTGGTGACCCGATGATTTTATTTGTATTTGATGACTAGCTTTTCATTCAAAGGAGAGAAGCCAGAAAATAATAGGCTCCTGACAAAGACAATTACTAAGTACATGCAAACAAAAGAAACAGATACTTCCCTCGAGGATAAAACCAATGCGTTCATAACTGAGTTGGCTGGACTTCATTATCAATTATACCTTGTCGCTCTTTGCTTCTTAGGTGTAAAGAACATGTTGAAAGGCATGGTAGACACTTGCGCTTCGCCGCACATCTATAAGGTAGTGGACTCCATTGTTCATGCTCTGACGTCACCATATCCTAAGTCTCATTACGTGGTTGGATGGGATGCAAAGCTGCTATGGATCTGGGTGTCCAGGTTCCCAGCCGCCATTGGGGACGCAATCTTGAATTTATTGGGAGAAAAGGCTGAACCTAGTAAATGCGCACGCGCAAATATGCCAGGTGACCAAACTACACGAAAAATAAATGAAAACAACAATGCAATGAATGGATCTGTTCTTCATAATTAAGAAGTAAAGCATTTCTTCCACGAGTGTTTCTTTCCTTCATTTTATTATGATAACAATGATAATAATATATTTTTAAACTTAAGTCTCAACTAATTTTTGGCCAAGAAATCTTTGCACGTCATATGTATATTTTAAAACCAGAGTAAAACCTCAGTTTTACTGTCAAACTCAGAAAACCGTGAACACCTGAAATATTTCAGGAAAAAGAAGGACAAAGAGGATTA